AAAGCACTTTTATATAGAGTAGTTCCGTAAGTCGAGGTCGATCAGTTGAGAGATGAATGATCATTTGAGGAAAACCCAAAAACAAGAAAATTGATATAAACGTAGGTCTAAAAATACATTGTTTTGAAGTTATTGCCATTTCAATGTGTAAAATGTGGTGATAATTTGAAAATAATGCACTTCCAGATTTATAGAACATGTACCAACTTTTTTTCTTGTTTTTGGTTTTCTTGTTCTTTGTTTCCCTCAATCACCTCCTGAGCGATTGACTTCCACTTTTGAAACACCCTGTATAGAAGAGAATTCAGAATATGAGCTTTAGAGATCCTGACTCTTTAAACATGACGTTTCTCTTCGTTCATCTGTGAAAATCATGCGAAAATATCGTGAAATCATAAATCGAGCCTTCTCATCAGCCCGGAAGTTTCGGCTGCGAGTCGCTTTTAGAAATTCGAGACGGCGTTAAAATAAACATCGGCTGCCCGTTTCTCTCAACACCACAATTTCTGAATACTGATCGTGTAACTTTTTCCCTAGGGAAAACGTGGAAACGTATCGAGTTCCATAATATCTTCTTGATTTTTTTTTTCCCATTATTTTCAATAGTAAAAACTTTCACTTTTAATGTTTTCATCCTAGAGGAAAAGTTACATGTTCGGTACTTGAAGCGAAGTCCCATTCCAAAATTATCAATAATACCTGAGGTCTAAGGTGACTTGAAATGTATATCTTCTGACCTGACCTTGTCGAACGATCGATTGAACTTTAATTTAATTTATTCTCGACGCCAGTAATCCTGGGTGAGATTGACTTGAAAAAAATTCAAGTAAGATTCAATTGAAATATAAATGGGAAGATGACACATTCATCAAACCGACTTTTGTTCCTCCTTCTAGCCTCTTAGATCTTTTCTTCGTAGCTGCACCGTTATTTTATTTTAAATAGAAAAAAAAAAATTATATATATGATTGGATAATATCAAAGAGAAAAAGAGAGAAGAAACAGAATGAACATTGAACTTGTTCATTTATATTTCGTTTTGCTCCGGCCTTTTTATCCCAGTTGCAGATACGCACAACGCGATTAAAAACAGAGATGCGTTCATCATATTACCGATTCAGCACGATCCTCGAGCACGTGGCATCCGCGACGCGGCTGGCGATACGCGGAAAAACTTTCGTGGAATCACGGCGGAAGGGCGCGATCAAGAGGCGGGAAGGGGGGGGAGGGAGAGGGAGTGGGAGCGAAAAGAAGGAGAAACGTCCGTCTAATCGCTCTCGGGACCGGCCGACCGATCGCGACGTCGGCGGTAAACTGAAGGAGCCGACCGGGAACGCGAAACCGGGGCCGAAAAGTTTCAAGCGCCGAGGGCGTAATACGCCAGGCGCCGACCGCACGCACGCATGGACGCACGCACGGACGCACGCACGCACGCACGCACGCATGAAAACGCGTAAATTAACGTGGAACTCCGAGCCCGAGCAGGGCGGGTCGGCCAATCGCGGTAGAGAATTTCGAAATGATAGATCATCATTTTCTCGGGGGAACTCTCGATTGGTCCGACGATGTCCACAAGTTCTAACGCTCGACGCTTTTTATGCGCATCTGTCGGTCTAACGCCTCGACAAAGAGAGAGAGAGAGAGAGGAGGGGGAGGGAGAGAGAGAGAGAGAGAAGAAGAAGAAGAAGAAGAGAGAGAGAGAGAGAGGATAAGAGGGGAGGAGAGAGAGAGAGAGGAATTAACGAAGAAGAAAAGGAATACAGCGAGAGGAGGATGCGCCGATAGGGGTGGGAGGAGGGGGAAGGGGACATGGAAAGATAGAGGCGACGCGATAATGATAGACCGTGCGGCGGTGCGTGAATAGTCGCGGCGCGCCGCGACGCACGCATGAATAATTTGGATTGTGTGTGGATGGCGAATTGTGATCGTTCTACGCCGTGAAAAACGACTCACGTCTCGCCGCCAAAAATGTAGACGTGGGAAAAGGGAAGGTAGAGAGGCCTCCTCGCGCGGAGGAGATCTCAGAGCTCTCGAGAGATTGCGATCGCACCGAATCGCGCGTTTATTTCCAATGATTTTCGAAGGACTCAGATCAGATCTGATTCAGATTAGATCTGAAATTGATTCGAGTAGAGAAAAATTACGCGATGACATGAAAAACGTGTAACGTAATGACGCAAAACTTTCCGAAACGCGCGGTCTTATCTGTGAGAATATCGGATAAGAAACGAATGTCACAGGAAATGCGATAAAATGCGAGCCGTTTAACATAAACCTGGCACTGTCGTTTTTACTTATACCTAGTTCAGGAATATATTAAAAATTAGAAAATTTCTGACACTTTTTTAAAATTTCCCCGCCTGACACGTGGACGTATCCAGGATTTTTTGTCAGAAAGGGGAGGGTTTATCAATTCTGTCAATAACAGATAAAATAGCAATTTTTATCCAAGAAAGCAATTTAATGAATTGCTTTTTGGATATTTTAAAGATTAGAATGTCTTTTCATTCCTGATTTTGAATGAGAGGAATATTAAATTTTGTAAATCATAACTTTAACTTTCTGTTTTAAATTTCGAGGGAGGTTTGATCCCCTCATACCCTTTCTTGTATACGTCCATGCTGATATTTTCATTCCTCAGAAAAGTATCGGAAAGAATAGTTATATCTGTTGTCACCATTCATTATGTAACTTATGCACTATAATATATCGTTAAAAGTTAGCAGATTTTTAATATCGATTTTAAAATGCCGATCGAATAAAATATGTTTATTCGATACCTATAATAAAATCTTTCTATAAATAAGTTTTTAGCAAAAAATTATTTTGAATCAAAGTATTTCTTACAGATTTTTAGATGATGAAAAACGATGCTGCAAGCTAAATTTTATCAGCCCAATTGAGATTTAATGTGTAAAAAATGGCATTTTTATAGTATTTCAAATTTTTTGTGAATAAAATTAACATTGTTTTGAAATTCGAAATTCAAAAGTTATAAATATATTGTTCATTCTCTATAAGAAATATACAAAAATCTAGTTTTTGTAAACTGTTATTGTGTTATTAGTTTTGTTTTTTGCAGTTAATTTTAGAGAATATTCATAACCAAAAGTTTTTGTCACCTATTAAGAAAAATGCTAAAACTATATATTTAATTATTTAAAGTTAAGTATGTCTATAATTTTTATAAAAATTATGTTATTTTGTTTATTATTAACTTCTTTATAATCCACATTTATTTATCTATTTATTTCTATTCCAAACAATATAAATATAAGAAATGCGTTTTTTATCTGTATAACTTTTTTGAGTACTTGTGCAATATAAATCATCTTTATCTCTCTTTCTTTTGCAAAAGTCAAAGATATACAACGGCATAAATGTGACATAATAAGTTTTATCAAATATGTTATCTCGAGTCATATAGTCTGCAGATAAGTTATACATTTGATATCGCGATCAATAACAATATGACAAATGTGACCGAATTGAATTACATAATATTTAGTCGTTGAATGAAATTTAATGAAAAGTATAACCGCAAATATCGTTTAAATTGCGTTGCGATATAGAAAATAATAATAATTAATAAATTCATAAATTCTATGCACATATTACGATAAAATCCACCATTCATTATGCAATTTATACAGTCCACTCATGCGAATTCGTTTAATTCGAATTTTCAATATAAAATTTTAATGTCAATATAAAAAAGTATGAGTTCAAGTTTTTTTTATGAATGTCTTCATTTATAATTTTTATGAATGTCTTCATTTATATATTAAAAAATGTATCCTGTGTTTGCATTTCAAGTTAATGCAAAAAATTTCTTGTAGAAAGATCTGAGAAAGAAAATAGTATTCCATAATAATTTTTATTTGTATATATTCAGACACTTGTCTTGATACTTTTCTTCCGTCCGAAAGCCAAGTGTCTCTTCTTAGAAATTATTCGGATCGGCGACTTTGATCTGAGCAGAACTTAATAAAAAGTAACGACAAATCTTTTGCAGCAATCTAACTCGTTACATTTTGTGTCCATTTCTATCTATTTAAATTAATTTTAATTTTGATTTAATTTTTTATTTTAATTTTGATTTTATTTACTCTGTCTTTTTTTTAATTCTTAATATTAGAAAATAATAATTTAAACCAAATTAAAATTAATCTACATTGGTAAAAATAAATATTAAAAAGATCTAGTCGAGAGAATAAATAAAAATAAATAAAATAATGGATAAAAATGTGGCAGACGCGATTGTAGATTCAAGAAATAAAAAAAAAATGATTTTTAGTGAGGCTTTTTAGTGAGACATCGCAGAGTTTTCTTTATATATATCGTTTATTTGCTTCAATAACGATAATTTAAAAAATTGTCATTTTTTTAGTGCAAAAAAGAATCTTTGGAATTTTTATTATTAGTAGGATGACATGATTGACTTTTAAAACTCGCTTCTAATTTTGCATTAGTGTCAAAAAGAGTTGCTTTTAAGGATTCATTTTTCTAATTCTAGATAAGAATCCAATACATTGAATGAAAGACCAATGATACTTTTATTCCTTTATAATTAGTTATTACACTAAAATCGTATTTAAAAATAATATTATAAAATCTTAATCTGATTCAAAATACTCGAATCCATTTTCTGGAAAAATTTTTTTCTTTGTAACTAAAATTAAACATTAATGATCGCTGGTATTATATAATGCAAAGTACCAAGACCAACTAACGAGCAAATAATAAGTATTAGAAATAAATATAATTGACTTTATCAACACAAAGTATCAAATTTAACTGTCAACAACTTTCGAACTACACCAAATCTTCTTCAGCGGCAAAAAAAAAAATGAAACGGTTTAACAAAAGATGATGACATGATGCGATAAATTGGCAAATCGGAATCACGGAGGATTAACATGGACTTTGATAAAGGCCTTTTTTTTCTTTTACATCGTTGGTCGTAGCAAATAAACGACAATAGCGGATGGAGAGACTACCGGTCGAGGATTTTCTATTCTTCCGAGTTCGGCCGCCTTGTCGCACTCATCTAAGCATGACCCAGCTGATCGACCCAGCCAGCTGACTGACCTACTGACTTACAAAAGACAGTACAGACGTTCGGAATTGTGCACGAGCGTGTACACATCGTGCGATACGATACGATCTTTCCATCCACGTACCACCGTCGCGCACGGCCGATCTCTCCAGCATGTTACGCGAGGAATTCGCAATTCTCGCCGCCACGAGGAACGTCACCCCGGCCTTAGCCGACGACTGGTCGTGACGTGTGTGCTATCGACGCCCGAGACCGATGATAACGCCGTGAAGCCGGCCGAGGTGACATGCGCCGGCGGACGTGAAACTTCTGCCTCGTGTTTCCCGCCGTGTTCCTCCCCCCCCTCTTCCTCCCCCTCCCCCCCCGCCGCCATCTCTCCCTCTTTTCGCTCTTGAATTTTCGATTCCTGGGGATCGAACCGTGCTTTTTTTCGACGTTCGGTATCGAGGATCACGCCTCGATCACGTTATGTAACGCGCTCACGTCGCGCGAACGCGAGAGAGAGAGAGAGAGAGAGAGAGAGAGAGAGAGAGAGACGAAGCACGTCGTAGTCGCTTTCTTTGTCGAGCGAGATTCGAAAAAAAAAGAGGCAATTCCCGCGGAAATCGAGAGGAAAGGTTTGCTTTTCCGAAATGCTTCTGAACTTTTCACAGGATACACGTGAACATTCAGAATCGAATGACAGCTCGAATGACGGTTTAAAATTATCGCCATGTTTACATGTGGATTACACGTGGAGGGGTACTGTGAAGTTGTGAAGAACACGTGCCGAGAGTGTACGAGTGAAGAATTCACTTCGTCGAGTGATTTGGACAAAATTTGCAAAGCGCTGGAACTTCGGAATAGAGAAATCTCGATTATTTTGCAATAAAGAAGTAATTCCAAGTTACGCGATACTGATTAGTCTACGATTAGCTTGTCAAGTGTGTGTGCTATTGTTAGCGTAAAATAGAATTTGATTCATTTTGCATGATATATAGGAGAAAACATTACTGAAAGGAACTAATTAAATGTTGTTTTAAATAATTCTGCCGAATAAATAAGTCTATTAATCGTAATTTGAAATGAATTGCGATCTTAACGAAATCCCGATTGTTTATTTCTACAGATATCTATTAATTTTAATTAAGTTTCAAATTCATTTTTTTCTAATTTTTAGAATTAAAAAGAAATAAAAAGCAAGCTTAAAGTTAATTTATTTCATTGATAAAAATAAACATTAAACCGGAAACAAGCGATCGTTAAATTGCTAAAAACAAAATTATTCTAATTATATATAATATAATCTATTATTCTTAATTTGAATTCCTGCACTTCTGAATATTAAGCAACATTGATAATTTTATCTATGTTGATAAAACAATATTAAACAACTGTTTAATCAATTTAGGCTCAATTGCATCAATGATATTTTGACTTTAAGCGAGACTTAAAATCTTAAATTTGTTACAACAAAGCAAACATTTTTATTTATTTTATTAAGATTAATGTAAATTAAAGCATTTTAGGCTTCGCGTTTGCTTTGATACAAATTTAAAATTTTAAGCCCCGCTTAAAGAAAAAATAACATTAGTGCAACCAGGCCTTAAGGAGTTTTAATCAAAGTTTTTTAAATCTCCGTTTCCTGGTTATTTCTCCTATGTCCAATTGTAGATCTGTTATTTTATTTCGAGTGTAGAGAGAGGGACAAAGTGCAACTACCGAGAACAGATCTGCTGTGTTACACGCGTAATAATCCGATAACCGCAACGTTTGACAGAGCATGCCAGCAACGTCACGTTTCTCCGGTTTCAATTTGACAGCTTAGACGATACGAAAAACAATTGAAAAATGTCGAGCATGGACTGGGAAGAGGTGAAGCGGCTGGCCGCCGATTTTCAGAAGGCACAGCTCAGCTCAACTTTGCAAAAGTGAGAGCCCTTTACTTCAATCTATTAACCTAATGTTACTCCTTTTTTTTTGCCATAGCAAAATGCCTGATAAAACAATTGCAAATAATACGACAAATAACAGGCCTGCGAAATAAATTCTATCTCGATCACAATTCTCGTTACTCGAGTCGTATATCTTGCACATATTTTTGTGTCGCAGCGCTTCTATATAAATTATATATAAATTCGAACATATGGTACTGACGAATAAATTCGAACATATGGTACTGACGATAACATCAATTTATTTTTATTTAAATGTGGAGATATCGAGACCACTTTTGTTATATTAATTGTTACTCTATAAGAAATACAAATAATTTTATAATTATTGACGATCTAAAAATGTCTTATTTATTTATTTTTTTATATTAGATGTTTCATGTCACTTTTCTTTTTATTGATATTGAAATAAAAGTTTATTGAATAAAAGCTTTAAAAATTCAATTAATTTATTAATGAGATATGTTAGTTTTAATAAATTTTATTGTTTTTTTGCAATGGTCCAATGTAATTAAATGTACGTTGCAGGCTCTCAGAACGAAATTGTGTAGAGATTATAACAATGTTGGTCGAAAATAAGCTTCTGGATATTATATTTACCAACGATGGCAAAGAATATGTTACACCTCAGCATCTTGCAAAGGAAATCAAAGACGAATTGTATATTCACAGTGGGAAAGTTAGCTTAGTCGACCTGGCGCAAATTCTTAATGTTAATCTGTCACAAGTAACTAAAGTAGTAACAGAGATCGAGAAACATAATAAAGAATTGAAGGTGATATTGGGACAGCTCATCGATAAGAGTTATATCAACAAAATCGCGGAGGAGATAAATGACAATCTTGTACAGCATGGTTGTATTAATGTAGCCGAGTTAACGCTAACCTATAACCTACCGGCTGATTTTTTACAATCAGTTGTCGAAAAAGAACTTGGAAAGATAATACATGCTACCCAAGACTCTCAGGATCCTAAAGTTTTTTATACCGAAAGCTTCATTGCTAGAAATAAAGCAAAAATTAAAGGTGCTTTGTCCGCTGTCACAAAGCCTACTCCCTTATCTGCAATATTGGGGCAGTGCGGTGTGCCAGAAAGAATATTTTTTTGTGAGTGCAAAAATATAACCTGATACTATCAATAAGTTTTTAACATCCACATGAATGGATTGCTTTTTATATTGTTAAATTACATTTATAACAATATAATTATATTGTTATGAAATAATATTATTGAATATTATTTGTTGAAATAATATTATCTAATATTAGCTATCTCTATTCAATATCATATCTATTCTCATAATATTCAGACTTTCTATTTATTTCATTATTTGTACAGCGATCCTGGATAGTTTGCAAGAAGTAAAACAAGTGCCGGGAGTTATAACAGGGAAACAGGGTGGAAATAGTATTTATATACCTACTATATACTCTAAAAGTCAAAACGAGTGGGTTGAAAACTTTTACAAGCAGAATGGATATTTAGGTAAAATATGTGATTTATAAGAATTTCTTAATAATTATGGTAATTCTGATAATTCATTCTTATTTCACAGAATACGATGGTCTTACTAGACTCGGGATATCAGATCCATCGGGTTTTATAAAACGTCACTTTCCAAACGAGAATATGGTCTTCCTGAAATCAGTAGCTGTGGGAACAGTAATAACCGATCAGGTCGATGCCAATATTGAAGAAGTCGTTGCAACCGGATCCTTTGTTGATCTGTATCCCCTTTTACCATCTGTATTTAGTGACGAAGACGCGGAAATTCTTCTCAAGTTAGCTATAAAAAAAACGAGGGCCAATGTGCATATATTTGCAAAGACAGTTGTGGTCTCGGAGGCATTTTTACAGACTTTAACTAAATCCCTTGAATCTACAGCGGAACAAAAGGCTCGAGACATGGTAGCTAGCGGGAAATGGATCCAATCTGTTGCAGAAAATAAATTGAAATCTAAATCTGTGGATTTGATTATCGAAAGTAAAACGAGCAAAAAGGAAGAACGGAGAAAAAAAGCAACTATTGGTAAAGCCGGCGGTGGTAGTCAAGGCAGAGAAACTAAGACGAAGTCTACGAAGAAAAAGTACCTTCAGGGAAAGACGCAGGAGAATGATTCTGACGAAGATGAAATAAAACAAACAGCGACCGGGAAAGGCGAGATTATATTGATATCCGTAGAAGACGTGAAAGTGGAAGTTATGAAAGACGAGAACGTATCCGTTATCGAAGAAATGGCGGACGAATTAGCGTATTATTTGCAACCAAGACTGAACAAGTCCGCATTATCGTTAGCGGAGCAATTGGCGCAGTCTAATAAGACTACGAATTTAAGCGAGATTGGCGAACGGTTGAATGTTTTAATAACGAATATTCGAATATTTGACAAAGGCATCAAGCACTTGGACAAGGCGGATCAAGTTTCGCTAACCAAATACCTGCTCAAGTCCCTAGGCCTCGATTTTGTAACGAGTATATTCAAATTAGCTGCTCAACAGAATATGTTACAAGTGCCGGAAAATCTCACGACGGAAACGAGACAAAAACTGCTGCTAGAATTGCCAGCAGATGTTAAAGAATCGTTGGCCACTACTCATAAAACAGTGATGGGAGATTCGGTGGAGGACTTTCTGAACAGCGTTGACGCAGCGATGGCAGCCTGTTGTCTGGTCCTGAAGAAATACGATAAAAAGAAAGAACGTCCGCAGGTGCTAGCTCATAGAGAAGCTCTGTTGGAAGAGTTGAATGCTACGCAAGATCCCGCGTTGGCATTGCACTTGGTTACGAGTATACTTTTCACCGCTGTCACACAAAACGCTTTACACATGTCTGGTAGACACGTAACAACCGTGCTCGCATTTCTTCAAAAGCAATTGGAACCCAATACAATGTTGATTCTTTCTAAATACCATGGTATGTAGTTAAAGATGGAAAATTCGATAATTTATTTTTTGAAGAATATTCTCGAGATTTTGAGAATTCAAGAATATGAAAATTTAGAAGATATCTTTACTATTAGGGAATTTTGTTATAACCGCATAATCTAAAAGTGCAGAACGTTTTCGATTGATATTTTCATTGATCTTGAAAAATAAATAAGTTTCATAAATTTGTAACTAATAATCCTGGATAGTTTGAAGAAAAGTTTCCAATATCCAAACTTGCAGACTAACTACTAATAAATAATTCTTTTTTTATAAAATATAATTATCTAAACAAATATTGCATTTTCTTTCAGATTTGGTACTTAATTTATTAAGTGCTTCTGATGAAGACGCAAAAATGGAGGCCTCCAGAGCCTTGGAAGAAGGATTGACGAACATAAAAAATATCGCAAATGATTTCAAGACACACACACAACACGTGAAAATAGACAAGTCTTAAGAAATTTAAGAGACTACACAAACGGCTGTATAATATAATGTAATATAGTCTAAATCCATTTTATGCAGATATTTGTTGTATAATATCAATTAACATGTTATATTTTATAAAAAAATATATAGGGTCTATATATATATATATTAATAATTATTGAAGAAATGTTTAATTACAACTTTATTATTATATACATGTATGATAATTATGATGCTTTTACTCTAATATTTGATAAATATGTTTTCTTATTGCTAAGAACTTTCCAACAGTTAAAGTTTTGAATAATAATTGCAATTTTCACTATTTTTACAATTCAAATAATAAATGTCAATGCAACTAGCTTAGAATGATGAACTTATCTATATATATGTACATATATATAATTTAGGAAATACTTGATTATTATTCTTGGATATATCTACAAATATTACAAGTGCAGCTTTTGTGAAAACTGATTACAAAGTTGCCAAGATTCGTGTCAATCCTACACATACTGTTACCACAGTTTGTCCGATACCCCATAATAATGCATATAAGGGTGGCATTTGGTAACTGGACGCTCTATATACAAAGGCAACCGCCGCCGAACTGACAACACCCGATGTCAGTGGCAACAATACACCCATTATTATGATAACCAGTGGAAAATATCTGCAGATATATATAACATCAATTGTGAATTGACCATGTCACAGATGAATTATCAGAACTCACTTACTTGCCATATTTGTGCTTGCGCAAAGTATCGAAACAATATGCACCAGCTATCGTGTGTATAAACATCGAGGAGAACAGGGCCCAGAGAAATATTTGATACCACATTTCTGAAAAAAGAAACAGGATCAAGAGAGATCAATAATTTTTACAAATCTAAAAATAAGAATGACTTTGACCAAATTCTAATTAACTTAATGGACAAGAAACTTGTCAAATAATATCTGCAATATTTATTAACAAATGGAATTACAAATCTTTATTTAATATAAAAGAAAAATAATTAAAAATCAGGAACAGTGAATAGAAATTCGAGTGAATTAATCATCAATTAGAAGTTGCATTAATTACCAATCTTGATCCAAATCACTTGTAACACCTGATTATAATTAATTGTAAGTAATTGTAAGTAATTTGATCATTTACCTGTGAATGATGTTAGAGGTAACTTGCTGCCTGGATTCATGTTTTGCAATGTTATCTGCGGTCGCGACAAATGAAAGTCCGTTTGTGTGTCCATTTAAATATTAACAAGAGAGAGAGA